TAAAAATCCAAAAATTAGGTAAGTTTTCAACGATACATTATTGTAACAAATATTTTGCAATATCATACGCTCAATTCATTTCTTTTATTGTCATATATTTGAAAAAAATTTTTATTTTTCTTAATATTATTCTTTTTATTTTGTAATAGATCTTTTTTATATATAAACACCGTCATTTATTTACTAAAGTATTTATAGCGAACAAATGACAAGTGATTCAATTTTATTCACACATATTACAGATTTCCATGGTTAATGGGAGAACTTTCACCGCAGGAAGTAGCTTCGTCAATAATTGACGCGCAAAGACGAAATTATGAAAATCAAAGTATACCCTCATATTGGCTGTTTATTTCTAAAATATTAAGGTATGTAAATCACGCCAATAAAAAATTAATACATTTAATGTATTATTTTTAAATATGTAATAATAAGTTGCAAAACAATTCACTGCAAATGTATTAACAATACTAAAAACTGTTGTTTTACAATTATTATTTTTCTGTATATAATAGAATACTTTTTATTTTATTATTTCTGTTTATTGTAAATATTTTTTTTATTTTAGACATTTACCTAATGCAGCAATAAAGTGCATGAAAGATTTCATCAAATATGGTGTCTATCCAGATGATTAAAAAGTGATACATTCGAAATTTATAAATTGCCCGTAAAATTTTACGATGTAGTTTATTATTATATTAAAAAGCATAGCCATTTTTATTTTCTTTACTTATGTTATGTAATTACCAAATATATTAAATATAAAGAAATGTTTATTTATTATTAGATATATCCGAGGAATATATACCTAATTAAGATATAATAAAAAAACAAATCAGTGAAGTTCAAATGATTGGGTGACGCGCGATGACTAAATTTTTAAGTGTTGATGTAACGCTAACTAAAATTTATTGCCATTTAAAAACTGTGTAATGTGTATGGTGAAAAGACTGTTCACAAAACAATTTTAATTCTTACGATTATTTTAATCAGTCACTGAAACTAGTTTGCCACTTCAAGATTCACCAAAAATCCAGTTTACATTGGCGAAAGTAATTGACTCAATAATTTATTGTACTTCTGTGAACAGTCTTTTCACTATACACATTTTGTTATTTTAATAACTACGAATGAAGCCAATATAAACCGGTTGAAAACGTATTTAAAAAAAATATATTAGTAGATAAATACAATTTAATACGTGAACGTTTCAGCTCTTTTTTGAGCCATCTTCAGAACAATGAGAAAAACGGAATAACTAGTAAAACATCTTGTGCGTTGTGAAAGTCAACCGTAAAATAAAACATAGTTAAATTGTTATCTTGCTAAAAAATTAACAACAATATAATAAACCAGAGTTTTTCAGCATGCCGCAAGACATATGGGATGTCGCAAAGACTCTCCAAGTGTGCTGCGAAACTTTTGTAGAAAGTAAAAAAAAAAAAGAAAAAAGAAAAAGTTTAAAATTAATTAAAAAAGTGAGTAAGGGGCGAGATAAAAAATATTTTTAACATTATGGAAATTACCTAAATTATATTGTGTTCACATTTATGTTAACCAAAACGATATCGTCATTGCAACATTTTTATAAAACAGCAAAATAAAAAATAATTGCTTTAGGACTTTACCTTTCACTTCTGCGTATGGGTGATATACCTACATGATATGTATGTACTGACCTACGCTAAGCGCTGAAGAATGTGCTCCTAATGATATACCTCGACAAATTTAGCTCGCTATTTATCTCTCCGCGAATTAAAAAACGTTGCACTAAATCAATTACAGATATTACAAAAAACATACAATGCAAAAATTTATTTTACACTTGCATTACATGCAATAAAATAAACGTTTTATATAATATTGAATACCGCCCGTTCCGCGTTGCGTTTTTGTCAACATGGCAAAGTCGTATTGTGCTATCTCTTTTCGACGGCGGTAAAGTTTTTAGACAACCCCCTTTCTCCTATAAAGCGAACTTGCTTTCGGTCAAGGAGGACTGCGTGCTTCATTCTGACTGCAGTTAGTTACTGACACTTTATCAGAACAGACTGAAATAAAATTCATTGTGTCAAAATAGTATGAAATAGTTACTAATAGCGAAGACGATCAGGTACGTAAAACAAATTCTATTTCTTTCGTACTTGTAATAAATACTAAGACTATGTTATAAACTCAATTTTTATAACAAATAAAAATTATAAATTTAAATTCCTTTTCAAATGAAACAAAATTTTATTATTTTTTGAAAAAAAACTATAAAGAAAATTTGCTTACAATAACGTTACAAATATTCATAAATTTATACTTTTTCTTCAAAACATTTTTTAATAAAAATATATTAAAATAAGTTGTTTCTCTTTCTCCTTTCTTTTCTGAATCTTCCGCTTTCAACTGATGATATTATATGTCGATATTATAATAAAATCTAATTTTTCAAACAATTATGGTGAGAATCATGATAGTTTATCTTGCTATTTTTGATAGAGTTATTATTGCTTATTTTGAAAATTATATATTATATTTGCAAAGATTAAAAGCGAACATTTCGATCTACAGTAAGTTAACATCAGCGATGTTAAAAACAAGAATTTAAATAACAAAAAGCGTCGATCACAATAACAGAAATTAAAATTACATAAAGCCGTACAGATTCGTCGTAAATTAATAAAAACCATACATATTCGACGTATATAGTAGAAAATCATGTGTTAGTCTGCAATATGTAAGTCAGTCCATTAAAATTCCAAAAAATGTGAAAAACCAATAAAATAACATTTCTATTTAAGCTACACGGGAAACTAAAGATATTTTTCATGTATATACAATATGAATTCAAACTGTTAAAATTTAGTCTCAGTCTCAGTTATAAATTCAGACCATCTGTATAATAACTAGATTCATGCTATAGACAACAAAATTATAAATTTTCAGTTTTCTTACACAGTAGAATTCCGAATTTTAGCTATCAATTACAGATTCAAACTTTGCATAATAATATCTCTTTTTATGTCAATATATTAATAAAAAACAAAGTTGAAAGTAATATTTTTATGCAATAAGATAAGATGAGTTATTGATGATGAGTTATAGAAACTCGGATTTTGAAAAATAATATTTCTATTCAAGCTACATAAAAAATAAAAAATAGATTACTCTGTGCACCAGCTGTTCCGCGCTGTATTTATTACTACACAGCAGAGTCGCATCATCGTACAATTTCTGATTCATGGGAAGAAGTTTCTCTTAACTAGCAACTCCCTTTGCCACAAACTTGTTTTTTTTTTCTTTAAAAACATCTAAAAAGATATTTGACGACTATTTACAGTTAACTACTGAGTCATCATTAGAGAACAGACTAAAAAGAAATTTAACGTATCCCAGTGCGAAACAGTTATGGATAACGAAAGCAATCAGGTATGTAAAACAAATTATATTTCTTTCTCATTTGCAATAAACGCCAATACTGTGTAGTAAACTCAATTTTTTGTAACAAATAAGAATATTTCTTTTTGAGAGACCTAAAAGCAGTTCTTTTTTCAGAAAAGAAAACTGTAAGAATAAACTTATGATAATATATGTTACATAAATATTCAAAAGAAGTTCGTGCATTTTAGACAATGTGGGAAGCACGCAGGGATTGTTGGATTCATCTTTTTCTTTTACTCAATTTTGCTTACTGAATCCGCAAATCCTAGTTAAAATAGTCTTAATATTCGAGAAATATAATTTTGGGATACATTTTTGACAGAAGAAAACAATAATTTTATTTATAATTTTGGATTTATCATTTTGTCGAGTCATGATAGGAAAAAATGCTGAAGTAATATCAAAATATATTTTTATAAAAACAACGAAAATTTTATATTCTTTCTGGACAGACTATTTGACATATTTTCATATAAAAATATATTAAAATAAATGTTCTCTCTCCGTTTTCGGTATATTTTTCTTTGTCTTTTTTCTATCTACCTGTCTGTCTCTCGTTCATTTTTGTAAAAGTTTTTAAATCTATTAAATTTTATACTCTAGAAGAAGTGTTAATCTTCTAACTAGTTACATTTGAAAGAAAATAATATGTGTTCATAATTATATAATTAGCAAAATTGTTTATCTGGGTTTCTACTCTTAATAAAAAGTAAGTAGAGCTCGAGCTTCGAGAGGTCACAAAAAACTGAAACTAACAACTCATACAGATGTATCAAACCTATGTTTATTAAATTATTTTTTTTTTCTTTAAATACTTATCTACTTTGAAATATCTAAAATCTTTAAAAGATTTTTTCTTTTGTAAAAAAAAAATTACAAACAATTCTTTCGCTTATTTTTATTCAAAATTGAAAATAAAATATTTAATAAACAATGTTTATTAAAATAACTATAAAATCATAATGTAGATAGATGTTTCAAGAATTTCTTAATATTTTTAAAAACTTTAAAATAGCGAAAATATGTCACACATGAAAGATAGACAATAAAAATCTAAAAAAAAAGAAAACTTATACAACTTGGCTGACCTTGATCTTTATATAGATTTTGATATTATAGAGATTGATATAGATCATTAGAGCCTTCTTTAAACAAGAGATTTACCTTGTGTTTAACTTTGAATATCTCAGAAATTATAAAAGTCCACCATTTAATTATTAAGGCAAAGTTACTCAGAAATGAACCTCCTATAACATATATCATAATCAAATTCATCCAAGTTGTATAAATTTTTCTAAAGATTTACCAAAAAATTAATATAATAAACACATATTTTTCCATTAACATATTACATGCAGTTCTCATAAAAAATCTCTAATTTTTCAGACAAATGTGATAAAAATATATAGTAGCTTGCTTCTTCTAGCAGAGATATTATTACTTATTTTGCAAGTTGTATATTATATTTGCGAGGACATATGCAAATTAATCGTTCCACCGAAGAAAAAGAGCGTAACTGGTGAAATTGTTTTGGTACGTAAAAAATTCCTAATCTCGCAATATTCCTATATTAAAATTGGCGTGTTACCGGCGTTTGAAGCCTCTTTTCCCCAATGTTTAAAAATTCATATCTTCCAGAAAAATAAAGATATAGACTTCGTTCTGGGCTCATCTTAAAGATGATTTATGTGGCTATTTTTTATGAAATCGTGATTTTATTTAAAAATGACCGATTCAAAATGGTCGATTAATACGTCATTTTTTTGAAAATTTATTTTTTTCAAAAATTGTTAAAATTTGTTTAATTAAAATGGGTGGTGATGGTGGGTTGGGTAGTGATGGTTGGTGGTGGTGGTGGGTGGTAATAAGTGGTGATGGTGGGTAATGGTGGGTCAAAAAAAAATTTTTATTTTAAAAATCAAATGATATAAAAAATTTAAAAAAAATATATTTACTTTAAAAATCAAAT